GAGCAGGGAGCCCGATGTGGGACTCGATCCCAGGACCCTGGGATCATGACCTGAGCCGAAGGCAGACGCTTAACGACTGAGCCACCCAGGTGCCCGCTAAAAATACTTTAAAAATTTTTTTAAAGTATTCACTGTTTATGTGAAATTCAAATTTAACTGGCATCTTGTATTTTACCATATATGGAGGGTAAAGCTAACTAATAAATCCACTTAAATATCGGGGACTGAAATTTCCATAGAGAATAAAAGAAGAACAAGGTTTGATTGGTGGAATTCACCTAGAAGAATTCCAAAACTAAAAATAAAGTTAATTTCTTACATTGAATAACATTAAAGTTCAGGATAACACTAAGTTTTAACTGAAAATGAATGAAGAATTATTGTATTGATCTAGGGCATCATCTTTTGGGGTCTGGCTTCTGTGACCACCTTAATAGTTATTATCAGGTTATGATCAATTCAGATATTGCTACTTCAGTCTATATTCACTGGGTCAGTGAGGAGTTCTGGGTTCTCCAAGGCTTCAAGGTGACCTCTCTGTGCCCTTCTCCCACCCCTACCTCTCATTTCCTGTCCAGTTCCTGGGCCACCTCACCTGGGTTACCTCCTCACTGAACCCCTCCAGCCGCGACGAGCTCCTGCAGCTGCTGGACACGGCCAGGGTGAGGCCCTGGGGAGGGTTAGGGCTGGGTCTTGTCCTCTTCTTCCTCTCCCACCCGAGCCCCTCGGGGACCCAAGAGATCCGACTCCCCCTGCAGCAGTTGAAGGAGCTGCCGCTGAAGACCACAGCGGAGCAGGACAGCATCCTGAGCCTGTCGGCCCGCTGCCTGCTGCTCACCTGGCGCGACAATGAGGAGCTCATCCTGCGTATCCCCACGCATGAGATCGCCGCCGCCTCCTACCTGCAGGACGACGCGCTGCACCTGCTGGTGCTTAAGACCGGTACAGCGGGCGGGGCGGGGCGGGGCGGGGCCGGGGGCGGGGCCGGGGGCGGGGGCAGGGCCGGGGGCAGGGCCGGGAAGTGAACGCGGAGAGAAGGGTCCCAGCGTCTAGTTTTGGGAAAGGAGTGACCTGGGGTGGGGAGGGGGTGGGTTGCTGACGGTGGATGGTGTGTGATGGAAAAGGCCTAACCACACTACCCTGAGACTAAGAGCAGGCCATGGCCATACGCAAGAAGACGCGGCCCCAGGTTGAGGTTGAGTTTGAAGGGTGGATAGCTTGCTTGATCCACCAGCCTGAGGCCAGGTAGCGGGGCTGGGAAGGCTGGAGGAGCCCAAATTCTGGGACCTGAAGTTAAAGCGCGTGGTGAAGCAGAGCAAGACAGCGGCGCACCGAGAGCTCGGGAGAGGGGCGGAGTCTGAGCTAGGGGCGTGGCCATATGCCGAGGAGGCGGAGCTCCTGGCTGGAGTGACTGTGGGACAGGTCAGACCGCAAGCAAGACTAGGGTGGAGCCGAGGTCGGGGGCGGGCCCCAAAAGTAAGGAAAACGCGGGAGGCGGATCTGGCCTCAAGACTTTGAAGGCCGAGGTGGGGCCAGGCGCCGCTGGTCCGCAGCTGGTCTCGGGAGGGGGCTCTTAGCCCGGATCTCCTGACCGCCGTCCCGCCTCTCCTAGGTCTGGGCGTGGACCCGGTGCCAGCCGGCGTAGACGCCAGCCCCGGCGGCGCAGGGCGCGACCCGGGCCCGCCGGGCGCGGCGCCCGAGAAGCGGCGGGGGGGCACCACGGAGCGGCGCCACACCATCTGCAGCCTGGACTGGCGGATGGCGTGGGGCGGGGGCGCGGGCGCAGAGGCCCGGGCCGGGGGCAGCGGCGGCGGCAGCCTGGAGCGCCAGCGCGCCGGGGCGCGGGCGTCGGGCAGCTGGGAGCGGCGGCAGACGTTCAGCGGCAGCTGGGAGCGGAGGCACACCGGCGGCGGCGGCGGCGGCGCGGGCAAGCCGGGCGGCAGCTGGGAGCGGAGGCAGGCGGGCGGCGGCGGCGGCGGAAGCTGGGAGCGGCGCCACCCGGGCTCCAACCCGCTCGACCCGCAGGACCCCAGCCCCGACGCCTACTGCAATCTTGTCATCCTGGCTGTGGCCAACAGGGTGAGCCCGAGGGCACCCGGAGCCCCTGCGCCCTGCCTCCCGGCCGCGTCCGGGGTTGGAGGGCGTCGCTCTCCATCCCACCCTGCTCCGTTCCTGGGGTCTTTCCTTCTCCCTCCTGAGGCCCTACCTAGGACTTCAGGTACTACCTGTGTGTCAACGACGCCAAAGGGCTTCTAATCTTCAGCCTGGACACCTCCCCCTTGCCATCCCAATGGGATGGAAACTCAAAATAGCCCAAACAGACTGGATCTAACCCCTCCTCCAGCCCTGCTCTTTCTCCCACGTTGTCAATGTCCGCACTACCACCGTAACAATCATGAGGACACTCATTACCAGCACGAATGGAATGCCAACCCATGCCAGGCAAGGAACCAGCATTAACACATTTCGTTCTCTCACTAACCCCTAGAGGCAAACATTACAACCCTCCTCATTCTAGAGAGGAGGAAAGTGAGACCCAGAGGCTAAGTAACTTGTGGAAGGTCACACAGGAACCAGGTGGTGGTTTCAACCCTGGGACCCAGGAAGTTCAAGCCTGTACTCTTGTTAACTATGGCAGTCATCCAAGGCAGAAAAGCCTTGCGTTCTTGCCTTTCCTCCCCTCCCCCCATTCTCCATATTCACCCTTGGTTTTATGCATTTAACGATCTTTATTGAGCATCAGCTTTGTCCTAGGTAGGCATTGGGCTAAGTGCTATGGATGCAGAGATGAGCAAGAGATATTTGGTGCCCTCCCTTCGAGAGCTCACAATCTAGCAGACACCTTCAAGTCCTGAGTTGTCTAAACTTTTCCTCTGGCCCAGGGCCCCCAACCCCTCCCCCCACCCGGTAGTACCCTAGCGAACAAAACAGTCTCATGGCATTTAAAACACTGAGAACTCCAAATGTTATCTCTCAGCAAATCTCCAGGCGTGTTTCTCCAATCGGCCTCTCCATACGGTGGGCTAATGACTATCTCAAACCTAACACATCCAAAGCTAAGCGCCCAATCTTCCCCAAACCTGCTCCTCCCTTGGTCTCCCTGTCTTGATTAATGGCAGCTCTGTTCTTCCCTCGTTCAGATCAAAACCTGGCAGTGATCTGCGACACATCTTGCTCTCACACAACACATATCCATTCCGTCAACAAATCCTGTTGGCCTTATTTTTAAAATATATCCCAAGCCTATGTACTTCTCCCCACCCTCCACTGTCCCCACCCAGGTCCACACCCCATCTTCTATCATCCAGATCATGCATTTAGATCACAGATTGGGCTCTTGCTTATAACCTGATGCCCCCACGGTGAGAGCAGTCCCGTTAACACATAAGTCTCATCATATCATGGCTCAGAATCTTGCCATGGCTCCCCATTTCACTCAGAGTAAGAGCTAATGTCCTTACAACTGCTTATAAGGCCGCTCACCTTATAGTGGCGGCTGAAGCCCATTTCCTCTCTGGCCTCATCTCTTTCTAGGTCCCCCTTTCTGCACTTCATTCCAGCCAGACTGGTCTCCTTGTAGAGTGCAAGAGACCTGTGCATTCTGGATGGTTCACTATGGTATCTCTGACACCTAAAACAGTGCCTGGCACGTGATAAATACTGAATGAATGGATGAAGTGATGCATATTATATTCCTATACCTTGTGGTGGGGACCAAGAAGAAAACAAACAGGTTGCAGTGATAATGAGGGAGGAGATCCATTTTCCATAGAGAAAGTGAGTTTGTGCCTTTTAAACTGAAATGTGAAGGGGAGGAAGGAGTCAGCAAGGCGAATTGGCGGGAAAATGAATTCCAAGCAGAGGGAACAGTGCGCCCTGTCTATCTCACTGGACTGTGAGGGCTTGAGCGTACAGACTTCATCTAATTCACCCCTGAGACCTCAGAGTCTGGCCCAGTGCCTAAAATAGGGCTAAATGAGAATTAGTCTTATCCTATGAAGAGTTGTTTTTCAGGAGTATCTGATTCTCTGGCCTCCTATCCAAGGCCTTCTAGTCCCAAGGAGGGTACAGGAGTTAGAATCAAAAAACCTGAGTGCCAATAGTAGTTAATGCTAAGAACTTGCTGTGTGAGCTGGAAGAGTCACCTAGCCACTCTACGCCTCAGTGCTTTTAACTATAAAAGAAGGATACTGTCTCCCCTGTCTGTTTTGTAGGGTTATTGTAAGGATCAATGCTGCCTCTCCTGGGTTACATTTTAATTCATACCCTGGGCTTTTTAGAGGCACAAAATAGGAAATGGTACCATGATGATGGTCTCATCAGAGATTGTCTTTCTGGGTCTCTTGCTTAAAGACATAAAGAGGTAAATTAGAAAGGCAAATTCCTCTTCACATTTGCAGTCTCGAGAAACTTTCACCCAAGAATTGAAATTCCCGCCTCCTCTCAGAGACTGAAGTTTATGTATTCATCCTACCTCCGTTTTTGCCCTGGGTGCCAGAAAGCTCATATCTAAATATGGCCTCCAGCAGCAGTAACTATGTTGAGCCTAAAATTTTCATACATGTAATTCTTCCTCCTCCTAGTAGGTATCAGGAGTCCTGGGTTCTAGTCCTGACTTCTCTGAGCCTCAACTTCCTACCGGTTATTTAAACCAGGGCTTATTTTATCTTATTTTATTATTTATTTATTTATTTTTTTAAGTAGGCTCCGCACCCAGCATGGAGCCCAACATGCGGCTTGAACTCATGACTGTGAGAGAGAGACCTGAGCTGAGATCAAGAGTTGGATGCGGGCGCCTGGGTGGCTCAGTTGGTTGGGCGACTGCCTTTGGCTCAGGTCATGATCCCGGAGTCACGGGATCAAGTCCCGCATCGGGCTCCCTGCTCGGCAAGGAGCCTGCTTCTCCCTCTGACCCTCCCCCCTCTCATGTACTCTCTCTCTCTCTCATTCTCGCTCTCTCAAATAAATAAATCTTTAAAAAATTAAAATTAAAATAAAAAAAAAAAGAGTTGGATGCTTAACCAACTGAGCTGCCCAGGTGCCCCTAGGGCTTATTTTAGATAAGCTTCAGAAGGTCCTATGAATCCCTTAGAAATCTGGGATGCATTTTTCAGAGCAGAAGACTCAGAGTTGCTGCTGGACTCTATTACAGAGTTCAAGATTCAGAGGATGGCCATACAATTTTGATGGGGAATGCCCTCCGAGTTGATTTAAAGGTGCCCATAGGTGCGTGTGTGGCCCTACGAGACTCCTCACACTGTTTAAGGGGGCAGGGGTGTCCTGGGCACTGGGGAGGCCTGAGCGCTCTGTCCTCCTCCCTGGGCCAGGATGCTGCCGAGGAGTCCTGTGCTCTCATCTGTCAGGTCTTCCAGATCATCTACGGGGACCAGAGCATTGAGTGCGTGGACCGGGCCGGCTACCACTACACGTCCACACCCGAGCGGCCGTGGCTCTGCAGCCGCAGTGAGTACTGGAACTCCTGGCTGCCCACCCCCCCGCTGTGAAACATCCCAAAAGGCCGGGGAGGGGGGCTGCCCCAGGACTCAGGGCCAATGAACGCCTTTAGGGGTCCTGATCTCTACCACAATTACAGTGTCCTCCCCCAACCCTGCCACCCTTAGGTAGTTAAAATAAAATGTCAGTTTTCATGATGACCTCAAACTTAGCTTCTTCACAGATATTCTGGTTGCCAGATTCAGAATGAGCCCCTCAAAGCTGAACTTTTTCCCCCACTTTCGTTTTTGATGTCCTTGCTTTGCAGAAATCCAAGCACATGCATTGTCTATTCACTGAGCTGTCTAGCTCCACTAGGAATCTAGGTCAAAACCAAGATTTCCAGACCCACTCTTGGGGCTAGAATGACAATATGAACTAATAGAGGCATTTACTGAGCACCAACTATGTGCCAAGCACAGTACCAATGTGCCACATCTTATTTAATCCCCATAGCAGCCTTGTCGGTCCTATTTGCCACTGTATCCCCTGTGCCTAGCACAGGACTAGGGACACCACAGATGCTCAACAAGTGTTTTTTGAATAGATGAAAGAACTCTCTGAAGCCTTATGATTCCAGTTTTACAGAGGAGGACATTAATTAAGGCTCAGAGTAGTCAATAAATTGCTCAGGGTCTTAGTGAGTAAGTGGGAGAGTTGGGATTCAAACCCAGGTGTGTCTGATTTTTAAAGCTTCTATCTGCAGCTACTCCCATGCTACTTTCGAGGCCACTAAGTGAATTTCCTCAGCCACAGCCCCCTCAATGTGCTCCCTGTTTGCATAGCTCCAGCAACAGAGCTCTTTCCTCCTGGAGGCACTCCCATCCGTGGGAACCGTGGTTACTGGGAAGTTGGGATGGTTCATCAACTCTCACAGGATGATGGGTAAATTAATGAGATAAGTCAACAAGTATTTCAACAAATTCATTCTATTCAACAAATATTTACTGAAGCACCTGCTATCAGCAGGATGTACTGGGGAGCAGAACCAGACGTGGCCCTGCTCTCACAAGGCTTGCTTTGCTGAGGTAGGCCCACTGTAATTACATAGTTACACAAGTAAAATGTAGCCACATGTTGTACTCTGAGAACACAGACTGAGGAACTGGCCTCACCTGTGAAGTCAGGGGGGTGTCTCGAGGAAGTGACACTGAGTGAGCCAAGATCAGAAGGGTAAGACTAGTGGATTCAGAGAGGTAACAGGGGTAGGTAGAGGGCAAGTTCTCTGTAAATGGTGCTTCTATCCTCTCAAGATTTGGGGTTCTTTCCCTCAAAGTTCTTTTTTTTTTTCCTTGCCTCAAACACAGTTTTAAAAACATTACCTCATCTGTTCCCTCACCTGCTATTCCCAAGACCCCCACGAGGCAGGCAGGAAGGTGGTATTCTCCCAACCTTGGGGAAGTTGAGGGCCAGGAGAGAGGAGGTGAGTTGCCCAAGGCTGGCTGTGTGTTGGTTGTGGGGGTAGGAATCATGGTCAGAATCTTCCAGTGGCTGCCTAATTTCACTCAGGGTAAAAGCTAACACCTTTACGGTTGCCTACAAAGCCATCCATGCTCCAGCCACCATCCCAACCACAGGGAGGGGCTAAGGCTGGGGCCTCAGGGAGCTGGGGATGTTGGTCCCTGGTCTGCTGCCTCCAACCGCCCCTCTGTCTCCTGAGCCCAGGTGAGAGCTGCCGCACGGATGGGACTTACGCCTACGATGCCGACTTCAGCTGCTGCAGCTCCTTGTGGGTACCACCCTGCCCCCCTCCTACACCCCTGCACAAATACGGTCACTTTTCTGGGCATTCTTGAGCCCCCTGTGGGCAAGAGAGGGTGGGAGAAGATGACCCCACCTCGATTTGTCCTGATGCCCTGGACCCTGGTGGGGGGAGGGCGTAGGTAAACTGATCTCTGTGGGCTTCAGTGAGCTCAGAGGATCCAGACCCAGACTCTGACAGGCCCAGGGGAGAGCCAGAACCCAGAACTGGGCCCATGTAGGCCTGCAGTTCTCTGCTCGTCATCCAGACACAGTGGCCAGCAGAGCCCAAACACAGCTAATACCAAAAAATAATTTTGGTTTACTTTAGTTTTAATTCCATGTAGAAAACCCTAAAAAAGGTAGAGCTTTAAACAAGATAGCTTTTTTCCACCTTGTCTCATATAAAATAGACCAGGAGTTTACGGCCTCATGGTCAGCAGGGGTCCAGGCTTTTCTTCTCCCCCGCTCCTTGGCACTTGCTCCCATCCTCAATGTCACCTCATGGACCAAGATGATGGTCATAGCTCCAGTCATCGCAGTGGCCTGCCAGAGGGCTCTGTAAAGAGCTTTGCTGGGAGTCCCACCTCATGCCTCTGCTTGTGTTGCATTGGCCAGAACTTGGTCACATGGCCACCAGGAGCTGCCAGCAAGTCTGGGAGTGCCGCATTAACAAACTCACCTGGGAACATTGTCCAGGGTTCTGTTTAGTATGACCAACCCCTGCCCCCAGCACTGAGGGGGTTCCTAGGACATGGGAATTTCAGTGCAAACACCAGGGAAGTCCCACAAGTGGGTCATGCTGGTTCTGTTAAGGCCTTAGACTTGACAGGTAGCAATCTCTGCCAGTCATATACGCCTTACTTTTTTTTTTCCTCTTTGGTGGCGATATATTTGCCTTCTTAATACTGTGTGCTCTTGGGCCAGTCCTTAAACAACCTGATGATGTCTGCCGGAGAGATGGCAATCATGATAATGACTAACCTTTGAGCTTGCTGTGTGCCTAGTGCTGTCCTATAAAGCACTTCATTTTTTTTTAAAGTAAACTTTACCCCCAACATGGGGCTTGAACTCATGACCCCAAGATCAAGAGTCACATGCTCTACCGACTGAGCCAGGCAGGTACCCCCAAGCGCTGCATTTTTTAAAAAAAAAATCAACGTAGCAACATTACAGTGGCTATTGTTTATTTATTGCTTGTAGTCCATGACTCTAAGTGCCATATGAACAGACTCCTCTAATTCTTGTGACATCAGTTTTTGTCATCCCACTTTACAGATGGAGAAACTGAGGAATAGAGAAGCTAAGCAGCTTGCGTAGGGTCAAGCAGCTAGTAAGTTGTAGGCCTGAGGTTTGAACCTGAGCAGGCTAGCTCCAGGTCCACATCCCCTAACCACTACACTCTACTGCTTTTCTGTAGGTAATAATGCAAGATGGTTCTGGAACAATTTAGAAACCAGGAGCCAGGTTGACCTTTTTTTAGGTGAAAAAACATTTTTTTTTATTTTTTATTTTTTGAGAGAGAGAGCAGGGGCAGGGACAGAGGGAGAGAGAATCTTTTATTTTAAAAAAGATTTTATTTATTCATTTTGAGAGAGTGTGTGTGCATGAGCAGGGGGAGGGGCAGAGGGTGAGGGAGAGAGAGAATCCCAAGCCGACTCCAAGCTAAGCTTGGAGCCCAATGTGGGGCTCCATCCCACAACCATGAGATCATGACCTGAGCTGAAATCAAGAGTTGGATGCTTAACCGACTGAGCCATTCAGGTGCCCCAGGTTGAGTTTTTATTAAGCGAGATTTCTTGAGTACCTACCATGTGCCAGAGACTGTGCTGTGTGCTGGGCTTACAGTGGGGAACAAGACAAGGATGAGACCTGTGCTTGGCACAGAGCAGGACTTAGCAAAGGAAGAAACCGACGTCCCTGCTTTTGCATGGTTTATGGCGCAAGCACAGTGTCTAGCGCAGGAGACAACAAAATCATGATTTAATAGAAATAAGCATTAATGATAAGCACGAAAGAGAATAAGCACCTCAGGGTACTGAGAGAGAGGCCGTGGGAGCCTTCCTCATCTGGGGAGTCCGGAGGGCCTCTCAGAGCCGATGACACTTGAACTGAGAACTTTTCCCAGACAAGGAGAAGTGAAGAGGGCCCCAGGGAGAGGGACAGATAGTGCAAGGAGTCTGAAGCAAGATGAAGCTTGGTGCATTTGAGGAGAAGCCAAGAGGCCGCCATGGACATTGACGGGGGGATCTGGAAAGGCCTCATGTGTCATGGCTAGACTTACGGGTTTGTGACCACATTTGACAGAGGATCTAACCCAGTCATCGGGAGAGGGGGTCAGGGAAAACTTTGTCGAGAAGGTGACATTTAAGCTCCAGTGATGAGTAAGAGTTAGTTGAGCACAAGATAGGGGGAGAGAGGAATCCCAGGCAGAGGGAACAGCATGTGCAAAGGCCCAGGGGTGAAGAGGTACTTAGAGTATTGGAGAAGAGAGAAGGCAGAGTGGCCTGAGCATGCAGAGCAAGGGTGCACTGAGGCAACAGAGGCAGCCAGGGCCGGATAATGTGGGGCCTTGGAGGCCAAAATGGGATCTAGGATGAGGCATTGGGCCCAGAGCATCGGCAGCTGTGCCTTCCCAGCTCCACCTGCTGCAGGGAGAGGAGCTGGAGGGAGCTGAGTGAGGGCCCCCCTTTCTGCCTGTCTCTGCAGCAATGGCTCCCAGGATACATTTGAAGCGTGTTATAGTGGCACGTCCACACCCTCCTTCCATGGCTCCCACTGCAGCGGCAGTGACCACAGCGGCCTGGGCCTCGAGCAGTTGCAAGATTACATGGTCACGGTGAGCTGGGGCAGGCAATGTGAACAGCACAAGCAAAGGCCCAGAGGCTGGAGAAAGCACAGGGAGTATTTCAGGAATCCTGAATAATCCTGGACATAACTTGAAGCAGACGTTGAAGATCAGGGTGGGATATGAGGTTAGGAAAGTAAACTGAGGCCAGCTTGTGAAAGCCTTAACTAGTGTCAGCTAGCATTAATTGAGTGTTTGCTCTATATCAGGCACTGTTCTATGCACTTTTTATGCATTTTAATCCTCTTAATGACCAAAGTAGGAGGTGCCACCATTATCCTCAGTATATATAAGAAAAGTAAGGGTCAAGGAGGTTGTCACCTACCCAAGATCACAGCACTGACCAAGGGGCCAGGATGTGAACTCAGGCAGCTTGAGTCTACATCCCATGCTTAGATGCAGCCCAGAGGGTCTTGATGCCCCCCAGTAGGCCATTTAAGGGTTTCAAGGGAGGTCTTGGCCAAATAGACCCTTACAGAGGGCTCTGGGTCTTTTAGGCAAAGGTTGGGTGGGGCTTGCTCCCCGGGACTGATCTTGAATGTTGTCCCTACAGTTGCGGAGTAAACTGGGGCCCCCTGAGATCCAGCAGTTTGCGGTGCTGCTGCGGGAGTACCGGCTGGGGCTGCCCATCCAGGACTACTGCGCAGGTCTGCTGAAGCTCTATGGAGACCGGCGCAAGTTCCTCCTCCTTGGTGAGCCACCTGCCACCCCCCCACCAAGGTCCGCCAAAACCCCTACATGGTCCATGACATTCCCAATCAGGCATCAGGCTAGAAGTGTTCACTCCTATTCTTCAGCCTCCAATAAAGCCAAGATCATGAAATCCATGGTGCATTTGAGGAGAAAGGTGCAGAACAGAGGAGGGACTTACTTGCAGTCACTGGGCCTAAGAAGAGCACTAATACAACCATTCACCTTCATAGCAAAGCTAGGTGAGGGGATGATTCTCCCCATTTACCCCATGGGGCAGCTGAGGCTCACAGAGGCTAAGGAGCTTGTCCAAGGTCACACAGCTGGTAAGGAAGGCTAATAATAGCACCAGGAATGATAGTACTAATAAGCTAATGGGCATTTTGCAGTTACCCTCTGTCAAGCTTCATCCCATTGAATGCTTCAGTTTTGGAAAGTAGAACCTTATTGCCCCCATACTGCAGATGAGGAAACTGAGGCTCCCCATATTGCAGATGAGGAAGCTGAGGCTCAGAGAAGCAAAGTAAAGTACTGAAGTCGCATAGCTAATGAGTAGAGATGGAAGCCAAACAAGCTGACTTGTCCGGGACACTCAGTGTGTGTGCTAAGCCCCTCCTCACATCCCTACCGGGAGAACTGGTGCAATTATCTCCGTTTTACGGGCCCGGAAAGTAAGGCTTGGAGTAGCTATTTAATGAGGATCACACAACGAATAAATGGGAATGTAACCGTTACAGTAACAACAAGCTAACCTGTAGTGAGCATTTACTCTGTGCCGAGCATTTTAGGTCGTTATTCTCTGGCGTAAAGTCGAGGAACTTGTGCAAGGCCACACAGCCAGCCAGCGGCGGGGTGGGGATTTGAACTCAGATCTCTGCAGAAGGTGTTTCCAGGGTGGGAGGGGGAGGGCTAAACCTCGAGGAGTCCCCCTGCCTGTCGGCCCTGCAGGGATGCGGCCCTTCATCCCGGACCAGGACATCGGCTACTTCGAGGGCTTCCTGGAGGGGGTGGGCATCCGCGAGGGCGGCATCCTCACCGACAGCTTCGGGCGCATCAAGCGCAGCATGAGCTCCACGTCGGCGTCGGCGGTGCGCAGCTACGACGGCGCGGCCCAGCGGCCCGAGGCGCAGGCCTTCCACCGGCTGCTGGCCGACATCACGCACGACATCGAGGCACTGGCCCCCGACGACGAAAGCACGGACGAGGAGGCCCGGGACTCCCCCAGCGGGGGCGACGCGGCTGAGGACAACTACCTGTAGCCGCAGCCCACGCGGACGGTGGGGACACACCTGCACTCCCGCCTGTGGCATCCCGGGCCCTGGGACCCCCCTCGCACCGGACGCGGGCCTCCACTCCCCGGGGTGTCCGTCCCTGCCCTCGGGGCTCCAGTCCCTGCAATACCGAGAATGTCCTGCAGGGGGCGGGACCCTAAAGTCCTGGGCAGTCGCGGGGGCTCAGCAGGCTCTTCTGCCAGAGCCGGTTGGGCAGCGCCCTGCTTTGTCCCACTAACCCCAGGCACGGCCCCGGGACAACTGCTCTTTCCCGCGACTCCCGCAGCTTTCTGGAGGCCAAGGGAGGGATGACGGGTGGGCTCCACCTGCTGGCAGACTGAGAAAAGAATTCCCAGAGCCCACAGAGCTGTTCCTCCTGTTTTACACTTTGAGAAACTGAGGTTCAAAGAAGGGGAAGAAACTTGAGGGAATCCCCTATTTCTCCTTAGATATTACCTCAAACTAACCACACTAAATAGCGTCAAGGGTCTTTTTAGGGCTCTAAATGGCAGGGTCGCCCCTTCCCTGATGGCAGGAATTGGATCATCAGTGTGAAATAGAGGTTTTTCTCTACTGGCACTTAAGTCAGAAATGGGTGATCGGGGTCCCAGTCCTGGCCCTAAGACTCTGAACAAGTTGCTTGTTCAGGTCTTGGATTTGGAGCCAGACAGACCTAGGGCTCCTGTCTCCGGTTAGTGTTTCTCACCCCGTGGTGATTTTCATTCCCTAATCTGTTGATGAGGTGGGCCCCTCCTACTTCACAGGGTGGTTCTGGGGACTAACAAAAATCAAGACCTTAGTGCTGGGTCCAGCACATGATAGGCACCCAATAAAAGCTGTTCCCTTCCACATCCCCACCACTTTCAGATTTGGTCTGCCTGTCTTGCCTGGGAGCAGCGGGGTGGGAACTGAGGTGGGGGGTGGGCTGTACGAAGACCCTTGGGGAAGTTTGTGAAGAGGAGATAGGACTTGCTCCTCACAGCTCTATGACACCGGGCTCTGGGTTCAAGCCCCAAATGAAAAGTCCCCAAGACTTCACAGGCTGCCGTCATGGGAGTCCGTGGTCGTTGAAGAAACCTGATGGCAGTGTTGGAGAGGTAGAGAAGTCAGCGTAAGGACAACATTCAACACGGCCTGAGTAAAGGCTTGGAGGCTAAAAGGGATGAGGCCTGAGAGAATGTACAGAGACTCACACAGAATTGCTAAAATTCATTTGCAAACCTTTACAGAGCCTTCCATGTTGAGACCATGAGGTAGGTACAATTATCACCAATTTTAAAGTAATATTATTAGGGCTTCAGGTCCAGAGTTCCATGATTTATACCCAGTGTGTAGCAAATGGCCATCCTGTCGTAATTAGTCCTTCAAGGCCCTCTGATGTTTTCTTTGGTTTATTTCCCCCCTCTAGCCACACATTCCCCACACTCCTTCCCCTCCTCACTGTGCGCACCCACCCTACGTGTTGCTATGTGGCCCTGAACATAAAACACACAATGCTTCGTGTGTGCATTTACCCTACATGAATGGTGTTGTGTAAAGATCTCATTCTGTTTCTTTTTTCACTCCATCATATGATTTTTAAGATAACCCATGTTGCTGTGGGAAAATCTAGCTTATCACATCAAATTGCTGCAAAGCATTCCAAGCTGAGCATCCGTGGTTTTATTTATCCACCCCCACCCCAGGGTTGGACACCCAGGTGGCTTCCAACTTTCTCTCACCACAAACAACACTGTGATGAACATCTTTGAACATGACCCTATGGGCCTATGTGAAAATTTCTTTGGACCCTATACCCAAGTGGAATTAGTAGATCACATATGTGTTTTAAATGTCACTAAATTCTATTAGCGGTATGTGAAAGACGCTTGTCTCCCCACATTTTCATTCGCTTTTACATTATCTGACTGTAATTTTTGCCTACAGTTTGGAGGTAAGGTGGCATCTCATTGTTTGAATTTCTCTGATAATATGAGATTCAGAATCTTCTACACTTGTCAGGCATTTGGGCTTCCCCTTCAGTGAACTGCCCATTCATTTCTTGGGCCCATTATCTCTTGGGTTTCCTGTCTTTTTCTTGTCAATTTGCAGAAGTAGCTTGTAAATTTTAGGTATTAATGCCTTGTTGGATGTTGATGTTCCCAATATCATCTCCTGATATGTTGCTCAAGTCGGGTTTGTCTGGGGTAGTTGTTCTCAAACTTTACCATGCACCAGAATCTTCTGTAAGGCTTGTTAAAACACAGATCGCTGAGCCCCACCCCAGAGTTTCTGACTCAGTAGAGCAGGGGTAGGGCCCGAGATTCTGCATTTCTAACAAGTAAGTACTCAGGTGATGTTGGTGGTCCAGGAAGCACACTTTGCAAACCAGTGGCCCATTGTGCCTTCCTTTGAACAAATTTGTTCCATTGAACAAATCCTTAATTTTGATGTTTTCAATTTATTTATCTTCATTTTACAGATGAGGGAACTGGAGCTTGAGATGAAGTGAATGCCCCAAGGTCACACAGAAAGCTGGGATTTGGACCCATATCTGGCCAACTCCAGAGCCCATAGTCCTAACTGCTCGACTGTCCTGTCCACCAGCTTTTGGGATGTAGTGACCACAGGCCGAGGCATTTGTCCTGAGACTCTGGGGAACTTTAATAAGTTCCTGCATAAGGGAGACACCGAGGGAGAAGTGCAGTGACAGGGCCGCTGAGAGTCACTGGGACAGTTCTTACCCCATAGTTCAAGGGATGGAGCAATTTCCCTCACACCCCGAGGAAGTCCCTACCCATCCCGGAACTACCCTCTTACCAAAGCCACGTAACCCCTTGGTAGCTGAGGTCCAAAGGGGCAGTCCAGTCTCCGAGCATGAGAACTCTGGCCACACTTCCTACTGTAGCATCCAGAGACCCTTCCAGGATCACTTCCCATTATGGTTTCATTCCTGGCACTGCAAGAGGGGGAAAACCCCGGGTGGTGGGACAGCTGCTTCCCAAAGACCTCTAGGGGTGGTGTAAGGATGGGACTTCCCTTCCAGCTAGATCTCCTGGGGACAGTTTTGATCCATGAACAAGTGGTGACGTTAGTGAAATTGTCTCCAGCTGCCCCTTCCAGTGTGACTCCTTTCGTTTTGGGGTCCTGCAACTTCCTATCCCTCCCAGCTTCCCCCCCAGAGACTCCTAGCAGACCTTCACAGCGGCATGTTGGAGAGGAGTCCTCGGGCCACCGTCCTTTTGTCACCAAATGTTTAGAGCGCATGCACTAAGAGCATGCACTAGAGGCATTGTGCTAGACAAGAGGGAGATATAGAACAATTCCTGTCCCAGCGGGGCTCATGGCTTGATGGGGGAGACAGGTCCCCAAATGATTACAGCATAAAGTTCTCAATTGTGAAATTGAAGAGTGAGCAACTAGCTCCTCCTAGGGAAAACAGAAAAGGCTTTGCAGGGTGGGGGGCGGGTGACTTACAAGCAAGACTCTGAAGGATGAGCAAGACTTTGGGCAGGTAGAGGAAGGTAGACAGGAGAGCCCTCCAGGTGGGGCCACCATGAGCAAAGGGCAAGGAGCTCAAAGGAGCATGGCATACCCCAAAACTGATAACCAGTTAGCTCTACTGCAGTGGTTAGGTACCACAGCCCTGGGGGTCAGACTGAGTGAGTTTTGAATCCCAATTCTATCATCTGCTAGTTGGGTGACCTTGGATAAGCTCCTAAATGTCTCTGGTCTTGGTTTCCTCATCTATAAAATGAGGATAATAATAGCATCATCCTCATAGATCTCATAGTTTGTTGCAAGACTTCAGCAAGATCCATGTAGGAGGACATACAGTAAGTGCTCAATAAATGTGACCATAACTATTGCTGGGAACATGGGGTGTGGAGGGTGAGGAGCAGGACTTATAGGAGAGAAAAGCAGAGGAATGGGCAGATTAGAAGGCCCTCGAAGTGCAGGTAAAGGGGAGTGACCAAAAGGGCTTGCATTTTACTGAAGGAGAGGAGGGTTGACTGGACGGCCGAGGAAAGCCTGGGCCCTGGGAGCTGGGGCAGGACCTGATGACCGAGGCTGAGACCTGACTCAGACGGAGGAAGGAGGAGAGAGCACGTTCAGAGGGGGGCAGGAGTAAGAGGGTCCCCTCCCCGCTCAGAAACGGTGCCTCTCACATCCTTTGATTAGATTCATTCGTTTGTTCCTTCGTTCCTTCGTTCCTTCGTTCCTTCCTTCCACAACTGTTTATTTAGCACTTAAACCGTGGCCTCATGGTGTTTATATTCTAGAAAGTTTATATTTCTATTAAGTAATGTTGCTTGGAATTTCCAGATGCAGTCACCACCCATTCAGGCTCAAATGATCAGAAATTGGTAGCCCTATTGGTGTGTCCTCCCATTTCTTGTCTATCCTCAGACATTTCAGACGAAGGGCAAACGGTCTTAGAGCCAGGCCAGCCTGTCCGGCCCACTTCCTGTGATGGTGAGTTCACTGTCTTCTGTGATAGCCCTTTCCATTCAGTGCAAGAGTTAACGACTGACTCCTTGCCCACCCCACCTCCCACCCCCACCACCAGAACCCTACAAGGCACAGCTGCTCCCTTAGACCCTGGGCAGCTCTGCCGTGGTGCCCAGAAAATGTCAGCACCTGCAGAAACTTCTCATTTCTGTCTAAAAGCAACTTGTTCCTAACACCCCCAAAAATTCCTGTTTTTGAAGCTTGTCGTGTAGACAAAGGGATAGTGCCTTTGATATGTAAAGAGGACATTCAAATAAATAATAAACACCCACAGTGCAATAGAAAAATAGACAAATTATTTGTACAGTCCACAGAAAAGAAAATACAAGTAACTGAAATGTGGCAAGTGCCAGCCTCACCCATAGTAAGAGAAATACACATTAACACATCGAGAGAACATTGTTCAGTCACTGGATTGGCTAAGTTTGGAAAGTCTGGTCACTTACCATGTGAGTGCAGACATTGTCACATGTCGCTGGTGGAAGGGTACGTTGTTATAAATCCTACTTAACAATATTTTAAATGCATGGACCCCTCGATGCAGCAATTCCACTGCCAGGAACTTCTACATTTACACTCACACAAGTGGAGGTGATGGATATGCAAGGAAAATCGTTGAGATTAGAAATAAACAAATGTTC